CCGGCTGCCGCCCGAGTGTCTGTCCGAGCTGCGGCAGCTGCAGTACAGCTGTCGGGCCAGCGGTACCGGGGACCACTACACCAGGTGAGGGGGGATGAGGGTGGGGTAGAAATGGGGTGGTTGGATGACATGTGAGAGATTACGTTAGGGATGGAATTGGAGGGAAATGGAAAAGGACGGGGATGGAGACAGGACGGTTGATAGGATGGATCGGGGATAATGGAACGGATGGAACGGATTCCAGTATAATGGAACGGAGCGAAATGGAGCGGAAGTGGTCAGTTTTATCACCCTTTGGGACTTGGTTGTTGACTCCTGAACCCTGCTGACACCCCCGTCCCCCCAGAGCGGTGTGCTGGGCGCTGGGCGCGCCGGACCTCACCGAGGACACGGTGGAGCGGTCCGCTGACCAGACCGCCTCCACTGACGACTTCCTCTGGATGAAACTGAGCGGCCTGAGCGCGCTGCCCGCCGGCGACGAGCAGCGCGCGGCCCTCTCCCGGCTGCAGACCACACTGGTCGACAAGTACGGTACGTGGAGAGAACGGGTCGGTAAACTTGGTCAAAAGTACGGGTAAAAGTGTGAAACGACTGCTCAGATTTCACGCATGCGGTACCGGGTGAAACAACTTTGTTTACAGTAAAAGTGCGATGCTTGTGACCAACGGGTACCCAGTGGAATATGAAGAAGTAAAATATTTCTTTGAAGCATGGCAAATCTTGGTAATCGTGTAGATTGGAAAACTAAATACCCATCGGTACATGGAAATGACACACAACGTAAACAAATGGTCCACTTGAAGCAGACATATGCAATGCAGTAAGAACCGACTGTTGTCTGTCCAACGGTAACAAAACACGGTGCCCGGAAAGTAGAGGAGCATTATTTTCTAACATTTCTCGTCTCCCTCTCCCTCGGCAGGCGAGTCTCATTTTGACGCGTACAACCAGCCGGCGCTGTACTTCCGCGTGCTGCTGCTCACCGGTCAGCTGGAGGCAGCCGTGGAGTTTTTGGCGCGCGTGGAGCGGCTGCGCGCGCACGCTGTCCATATCGCGCTGGCACTGCACGAGCTCAGTCTGCTGCTGCTGGCCCGGTCACCGCAGGCGCCGCTACGTGAGTGGAGGGGGAGGGAGCGGTGGAGTGCAGTGGGGGAATGAGTCATGTGGAACGTAGGGATGTGTAACGGATTTATTGTGGAAGTGGGCCTGAATTAGTGTCTGTGACTGGCCTCTTGTCAGTGTTGTGGTTTTATTAAAGAATTGAGTGCGAGGGTTTGCAAAAAAAGGGGAGAGCTGCGTCATGTAAAATATATAATGCGATTGGCATCCAACTGCAAAAAAAAGTTATTTATCCCGCCGAGACGACGTTAGTCACAATTTTCTTCGGCACTAATTACACACCGGCATCAGCCAACCCCTGAACAATTCCCCTGGTTTCAATGTTATTCAAACTGTTCAAGCTTCTACCCCGTCAAACACCTGCTAACCCTTCCCGCCCTCCCTCTCACGGCAGTATCGTCCGACTCTGACGGCGGCGGCCGCCGTCTGAACCTGGCCCGACTGGTGCTGCTCTACACGCGCCGGTTCGAGGGCCCCGAGCCCGAGTCGGCGCTGCACTACCTGTTCCTGCTGCGCCGCCTGCCGCCCACCGAGGGCGGCGAGGACCTGTTCGCGGCGGCCGCCGCCGAGCTGGCACTCCAGTCGGGCAGCTACGAGAGGCTGCTGGGAAGGATGGCGGCCGACGGACGCAGGCAGCCCGGAGCCCTCGATAGGTGAGACACGGGGATCACCTGGTAGGGATCTTACTGGATAGGTGATCATTTGATAGATAAGTGGCGGATGCACGGATAGGTGGGTGAGAGAGAAGTGTCACTGAATTTGGGTGAGATAGTGGAAAGGTGGGAGGCTTGTCTTTCTACAGCAAAGTTACACGTCCTGTCCCGTCACCTGTCCCTCATAATCACCGCTGGGTTGGTGAGAGCTCAGAGAAGCCTCACTCGATAGGGTGATACGAGTGCCATGACCGTTCTCGATAATTTTTAGGCGTCATGTATCTGTGAAAATAGCGCGTGATGGGCGTCCTGGCTCTATGACCAGAAAGGGGGAGAGAGAATGTCCAGTTACTGACCTCTAGCTGCATTACCACACCTCTTCACCTACCCCAGTCCTGACACCTGCTCACCCTGACCTGACCTCTTTCTATCCCGCTCCAGGTACGACAACTTTGACGCGCGTCCCGTCATCGAGCGGGTGGCTGAGGAGTGTGAGAGCCGCGGACAGCTCGAAGACGCCGTACAGCTGTACGACCTCGCCGACAAACACGATAAGGTACGAGTACGACTAACAACACTAATTCAAGTATGGGGTACGACACTAGGTCGAGTACGATGCTCGGTGTGCAGAGTATTCGACGTACGACGCGCAACACTAATTAAAGTATGGGGTACGACACTGGGTCGAGTACGATGCTCGGTGTGCAGAGTATTCGACCGTACGACGCTGGGGGGCCAACTTTTATTTATAACTTTTTTAAGTTTATTATGTATTTGTTTCAATGGCCTTGACTTGATACGCCGTGTATGAGATGTGCTAGTGGTAGTCAGGTCAAGGAACGATGCTTGGTCCCACACGAATTATATGTCCAGAGTGGTTAAAGGAATTGTACCTTGTTGGATGCGAGTTTGCCTTCGTCCAGGTCAATACGCCGGTACGAGAGTGGTCGCTGGGTCCCAGAGGCTGTTCCCCAGTGTCATCATTAGTACCGTGTCAGCTAGTTATTCTGACACCGCCTGTGTCACTTTCCCCGTGTCAGGTTCTGGAGCTGCTGAACCGCCTGCTCAGTCAGCTGGTCTCCAGTACCGACACGGCCCGCCGGGAGCGGCTTCAGGGCACCGCCATCGGCATCGCCCGGCGCTTCAAGGAGCACGGACACAGGGGATCCGCTGAGGTAAGATGGGGAGGGGACGGAGGTGCGCCCGGCGGAGAGGGAAGGGAAGTGGTTCCGCCGGGTTGAGATCAAGGGAGTCGGGGGTGAGATAGGTGACACTTAGGGCACAGGCGGAGGCGGCTGATGTTGATAATGTGAGTTGAAATATAACTAAACGAGGCATATGTAATTGACGTATCGGGTTGGACAGTGGCTTTGAGCGAATCCGAATGGAACTTGTGTCTGGTAGGGTGTTAATTTAGTATGAATTCGATGCCAGTGGGATGCAAAGATTGCTGAGGGGTGAATAGCTGAGCACTATTCCTGTTTTTTTTTTTTTTAATAAATTTAGCCCGAACCTTTTGATAGGAGTAGGATAGGAAGGGTTCACAAGGACAGAGCCATCGCTAAGCGAAGCTTGTTGCGGTGACCCTGCCCTCTTCCCTCCGATTGCGCAATTCCAGATCTATGGCAGTATTTAGAGTCCAAAGTTTAACGTGCGTACATAGCCGCGCACGGCCGGTCCCCTCACTGACTTCGCCTGGCTACGGCCTGCCACCAACCGTAACCATACCTGTCAGGAGGCCCATTAATGTCAAGCGCCCGTCGCGCTTCGAACCCGGACTGTTATAACCGGGAACGCGTGCTCTCATAACGCGGAGTCCAACGCTCTACCAACTGAGCTACGGGACCGGCAAACAAGAGTTAATTCTCTTCGCTTCCACTACCCTCTGACTTATAAGGTGACTGATACCCTTCCCGCTCTGACTCTATGACTATGACTGTGTGACTTTCCCTTTCTCCCCTCACAGTCTGCCGGCACTCTGTATCTGCTGCTGGACCTGATGTCGTTCTTTGACCTGTACCGTCTGCGGCGAATTGACGAGGCACTGGAGGTGCTCCGTCGACTGCGGCTCGTGCCGCTGCAGCAGAACGAGCTGGAAATGAGGCTGGCAGAGTTCGGGAGGCTGCAGGAGGAGGTGAGAGCGGGAGGGAAAGAGATAGAGGGAGAGATAGAGGAGGCAGAAAGGGGAAATGATTTATAAGGATGGCCTTGAGTTCTTGTATAGCGGTATCATAAGTTCGTAACAATCGAAACCGGGTAAGTTATTGCTGCCACTGCCGAAAAACAAAATCTCACAGCCATTGTCTCATAGTTTTCCCGTACTACACCATCCACTGTATTCTTTACCTCACGTTCACCATCTTTAACCCTCCCGCTCCCCCTCAGGTGCGTCGCTGTATGCCCGACGTCCTCCTAGCAGCCATGACTCTGCTCCACTCTGCCCAGCGCGGCGAGGCCGGTATCGCTCCGACCGAACTCCGCCAGACTGCCAGACTTCTCATCACGTTCGCCGGCAGTCTGCCGTATAGACTGCCAGGCGATACACACGCCAGACTGGTGCAGATGGAGGTGCTGATGAACTGAGGATGAACTGCCGGGGAAGGGAGGGAGAGGACAAGGGGTGAAAGGAACGAAGAGATGAGAGAGATGGACGGATGATATGATGAAAGGAGAGGGATGGAATGAGGGTGGAGAGGGAACACAGCTTTTTGTTGACGACTGTGTGGATAGGTGGCGGTGGCAGCGACTGTTTCTCGGCACCCAAACGAGTAAACGACCAGTGACCACTAAAGAGCAAGGATAATGGAGAGCACGACTTGTTCGAGGAGCGTAAAGAAACCGGCCACCGGAGGGGAGGGCAGGGGGAAGATTGGGTGTGGTTGGAACGTGATGTCAATTACGTGTGAGACTGCGAGTGTGAAAGAATGGAAGAGAGCGTGCACTTGTTGTCCGGCCATTCTGGCGATCGGCGTGTATGGTGGCGTCTAATGCGTGTTTGTTCGATGGATGACGTATTTTTGGCCCACTTCATGTTTGTAACGACGTGAGATGAGGACATGCCATGCCATCTCTGTACATTTCTTGCGCCAGGTCATGAATGTGGTTGTGTCGGGAAGAAAATAAATTTTCGATGAAACCATTTCGTGCTGTGTGAATACTAAGATTACTTTACTACTCGTGAATACTGGGGCCAATATTCAGCACTCCGCGGCATTCAATACACTCGACAAAATATAGAAATTGTAATTACGGTTCATTTGAAGCTTTCCGTGATTACTCCATCTTACACACAAACCATAGTGACACTTGGCAGCGACGCAAATGATAATGAAATGTACACATGTACGTAGATTGAACATGACGCAGAAAAATAAGCACATTTCGAAGATCATAATTGATGCCTCAAGTGATTAATAAATTGACGCCAGCCGGTAGAGTCGCATCACACTCATAATAACATAACATAATACCCGCTCGGTAAAAACATAATTGAAAAACATCAATAAACAAGCAGTCACGCAAAAAAGGAACACTGGAATAACGAAATCATTGTTCAATTCGACCCAATAACAAGCCATCGTCTCTCGACATTTGTCACCACGCGAGCTCATAAACAACTCACTAACTCGCCAAACTCACTGTCCCACCAAACTCACAAACTCAGGTGGGTGTCACCGACACACTGGGCGTCCTCTCTCCTCCCTCCTCTCTCTCCTCCTCCCTCTCTCCATCCATCAGTTCTCTTCCCTCGGTCACTTGCAGAGCTGCGTATAGTCGCGCCGCGGTAGAAGCCAGCTCTCCCCCTTCTGAAATAGCCCGCTCCATCAAAACACCGAGCGTGAGTTGAAGCTCGGCAGGGCGATATATGAATAAACGAGCCACGGTTTCCAGAAGGGCTAGACGCACGGAGGGAGCTCGCAGAGCCGTGCAGTTTTTCGTTATGCAACTAGGAGGAGAGATGCTACCCAAGCCATCAACCCCACAGTCAAGTGCGACATGATTGTCACTTATTCTCCCAACCTCGCCACTCTCGCCGCAGTGCGCCAGCTGTCGCAGCCGCGCCGCGACTGTCGGCAGTGCTCCACCCCACCGTCCGAGCGCCTCCAGAAGTCGACATAGCGCATGGGCCGGCAGTGACTCTAAATCTGCAGAGAGCAGTGTTGAAAGAAGTCGGCGACGGGCGGCGGCCGGTAGCGACGCCAGGTCAGGGGTGTTTAGGGCGCCGGCCACCACTGCCGCCCCGCTCTGGGTAGAGCTGGGGAGGTCTGAGGCTCCATCTCCTACCCCACTTCTAAATCCATCACGGATTCCATCGCTGTTTCCATTTCCGTACACACTACTATTTCCAAGACCGTTTCCAACAGTGTCTCCACCTCCAATACCATTTCTACCAGTGTTTCCACTTGTGTTTCCCCCACCATCGTCTTTCACTAGTCTACACAGCGGTTCCACCACGGCCGCTGCCAGCTCTGGTCTGTGAGCTGCCACTCGGAGCAGCGACTGGGCGGCGGACTCCCGTAGCGGCGGCGACGTCAGGCAGGTGGTGAGCTCACGCACCACGGCAGGAGCCACGGTAGCGGCGGGCGCAGCGGCGCTGGTTACTGGAGAAGCGCTGGAGACAGGGGAGGCAGTAGAAGCCAAGCCAGCCGAGCCAGCAGCGGCAGTAGCGGTGGTGGCGGAGGCGGCAGACGGGACAGTCAGACGCCAGAGGAATTGTATCATCTGAACGGAGAGCGTCGCGCCGTCCGACGGACGGGGTATGAAGTACCTGACGAGAAAAGCGAGCATTTTAAAACATTACTACGCTCATGAATTTGCCATGATAGAGTGTCCTAACTAGAAACGCGAAAAAGCACTGGAAAGAACGAAAGCGAAAAATAAAATAGAGCCTGCTGTGGTACGAGAAAGTCGCTAGCAATGCTTGTTCATCCATATTCCATAGTAATCACGACTGTAATAATACTGTAGCATTTCGGCCGTCAACGTCTCCAAAACCATCATTCTCTAATCTCTGCATCTAACGTCTCTTCCGTCGTCCACCTCACATTCTTTCCGTTAACATAGGTAATGCGGCGACGTCTTATCTCTCGCATGGTTTTATAGCGATCATATTAACTGAAGGCTCACATAGGCCCCAACTCTGTTCCATGCCAAAAGTGTGGGTCCCAAGCTGCACCCCTCCAGCAGCCCAAAATTGTATGCTGACTGGTGCCAGAGGGCTAAATCAAAATCCTCTTCTGAAGAGGGGATAAGATTGGAAAATGACCAGTCAGACGAGGTCTAAAAATGTGGTATCTTGACCGATACATGCAGCCGATGTTCATCTTTGGTTAAAGTGAAAGTGGAAATTGTCCTGGAAAAGTAGGGGTGAGTGAAAAATAGCTTTCACTTGGGTGTTGTTAGTCGATTCTCATCCAAATCGAAAAATGAGACACCGTATTCCAGCGGCCTCCTCACACTTTCCCATACCTGTAATGCGGCGCAAACGCAGCATGATGCTCCGTGCCCAGACTCCTCACGAGCTGCAGCACCGCCCAGCGCCACTCTCTGGGGGAGTTCCCCGGCGAGCAGAGCGCCCCAGCGGCGCGACTCACGGCGTCCGCACGAAGGTGGGACAGGTCGCCCGAACAGAGGTGGAAAAACAGCTCCAGCGCCGCCTGTCAGGGAAGAAAAGGGGAGAATGATTGTTAGACCCGTGATTGGTTTTAACGAAACTTGTGCTAGATTGTCATTTGCCGTTCCCCTATATACGGCCTTGGCCGTTCCGTTTTGTAATGGATGCTACTTATCGATGAGAAATCATAAAATCAGCAATTTCTTCATTAATGTCCGCTGAACGTGTTAAATATTCCAGTACAGCCTTCCCTCGCCTGAAACCTACCTCGATAATGCCCTCAAACGTGTTTAGCACCAAGCCTCGCAAGTGTCCCCCTCCCTCGCTCGAAGCTCCGACTCCCCGCGTCCCGACCCACCTCGATAAGATGCGGCCGCGGCGAGGCCAGGACCCAGTCCAGCCGGTTCATCACGGCCAGTCGCTCCTCGTCCGAGGCCGGCTGGTAGCGACAGAGCAGGCGGAGGACGTCCACCAGAACTGCATCCGGAAGAGAGCGGCTCCTGGTGGAAAGGCAGGGAGGAGGGGAGAGTCATCTGAGAACTTATCGGGACAAGAGAGGCACAATATCCTGTAAGGCACGAGCTTGCCGATTTTATTAGATTACACATGTACTCAGTCTGTTACAGGGGTGGAGTACCAGATCGACTCCTAGTGCGCATCCAGACTGTTCTTAAAGACGTTGACAGCGACGGGGAAGTGTAGTAACATATCTGAATTGCATTATCTATGAGAGCACGTGGATAATCCACAAGCCCGGCGACAAGTTGCCGGAACTTATGAATGTGAGCATCTGTAACCAAAGTGGTGGAAACTAAGGGTCATAGCCCCTGACAAATTAAGGTGTAAAAATAGACAAAATTGAGACCAGCTCAGCCCTCACAAGCCTGTCCAGTTCCTCCCGCTCCAACAATTCTCACCGCGAGCTAAGGTGTCGCACCATGGCGCGGTTGATGACGACCCCACCCTCGGCCGTCAGGATGACGTCGAGCGTCATCAGACAGGCGTGCACCAGCAGGGCGTCATCGGACCGGATCAGACGGTACAGCTCGTCTATGTGGTCTGTGAATAGTGTCAGGGAGGTAGGTAGGGGTGTCAAAACTCGATTTTTTGTCAGCCGATCGATTCAGCAGCTTTGTATGAGTAAGACGACGAAATATTTTTAGGTCTCACGCTTTTTCTCGCTGTTACCGATAGCAATTATCTTACCCTCTCGCAAATATGAGAGCTACAGTACCCGTCATGTTCTCTCGTCCTTCACATGTCCTGGTCTCCCTCCCTTCCTTCCTTTTTCTCTCTTCGTCGTTCCTTCTTTTCATACCCTTTTCCCTCCTTCACAATTCACTCCCATGCGAATTTAAACAATATGATTCATCCAATCTCGTCATTATCTCTCATTTACTCCATTACTCTCTCTCCACGCTACATTCGTCCATTACCCTTCTTCCTTTCAGTTCTCACCGATATGACAGTTCTGAGTGGTCCTAGGGAACACCCTGCACGCCACTGCGGCGGCTCTCTGTACGGAGGGGTGCGGGTCACGCAGAGCCGCCGCTATCACCGGCTGCGTGATGTCGCCAGAGTCCGGCATACGGGCCAGGGTGCTGCCAGAGAGCGAAGAAGGGAGGGGGAAAGGCGAGTGTTAGACTCGTGGGTGTGACAGCTGGGTGGGTAGGTGCAGATCACGATTTATACGGGCGAGACAATGTCCGATCCAGCTGGGGCAATGAGGCAAAACAGAAGTGTCGCTAAATGTCAATGAGCTGGGTACCATACCAAACAATGGTATAAGATCAGACAACAGACAATAAACGATGGAATTAACTACGACTACTGTGAATATATAAACGAAAGGCTCCATAGGGTTTTCTGGCTGGAGCTTATTGACAACAAACTGCAGAGTAACCAGCATCGAGGGATCCATGAATGTAGCCCATCACTACCCCACGAGCTCAACCCGTCTTTCCCAGCACTGCCCGACATGTAACTCAAAGCTCACCTGACGGCGGCCCGTCGCACGGCCGGGTTCGGGTCGACGGCACACTTGAGCAGAGCGTTGGTCGCCTGGGGCATGATGTCTGGGTTACGGCCCACGTGTCTGGAGGCAGAGCAGGGCAGGTGAGGGGAGGGTCAGAGCGGGCTGCAGTAGCCAGGAGGAGTCAGAGGATCACAGGAGGGCAAGGCATGACAGGCAGGATGGGGGGACAGCACCAGAGGTTGTCATAGCAAGGAAGAAGATGCACCTCAGACATGAAATCAACAAGTTTGGCGGTCTGAAAGGAGACTGCAGACAGACAACCACATAATAGTCAATACTGGAAGTGTTTGTCCTTTAAATAAAATAACACCTCTTCAAATTTTTATTGCTGGTTGTAGGAAGGTATGAAGCAGGTAGTAACAATGTCAGTCAAGACCAACCAATGGCTCCAACTCCAAGCTCAGCACGGCCAAGACTCTTCCACCCACCTCTGCACCAGAGTCATCACCACAATCCGCGTCAGCGGCTGGTGTGAGGAGAGCAGCTTGATGCTGGGCTGGACGATCCGAGGCTCATCACTGTCCGTGTTCATAAGTTGACATAGCTGCCAGGAGAGTGATCACTGTTAGGTATGTTTTGACAAGCTGTTATGTAGGTTTGACTAGATGAATACTAAGGAAGGTTTGACAAATTAAGTGAAAATATTTTGTTAACCATGTTGCACATATTTAGTGCGTGTGTCAAGAATGACACATGTCCTCAGTCCATAATCATTCATCGACCAATCCTGATACTTACCATTGCATAATCAAATCCATGATATCTGCATAGCAAAATTACCTGAGTGACAGCCTGCTGCTGCTTTGAAGGGTCCAGCAGCACATTGGGTAGGGACAGCAGGTTTAGAAGCTGCTGATTGTCACCCATGATGCAGATCTACAGCATCACCATCAACTGCAAAAAGGACACGGTGAAAAACTTCCTGACCAGTGTTTACTGTTAGAAATTACAATTAATACCTATATCTACAAATTACAACAGGTCAAAATGAATGCTTTGCATAGAAAATGAGTATTTTGGAACAGATTTCAATTTGAAAACCAGGCACCAGTTAAATAAAACAGAGTTAATAGAACACTCACTGCCCACTGTTCAATAGGTATGTGTGGTGGACATCTGGATAATCAAGGGCAGTTTACTGGGACCACCAAGATCATACAATTTGTAGGCTGGCGCCTTGCACAATAAATATGACAACAAGTAACACAATCATCATCAAAACTGAAACAGCAATCTAATATCGTGACTTGAAGTAATCACAGAGATTGTCCCTAAAATAATGGGTATTAGTAGAGCAGACATCACACGAAGGTTTTCCAACCAAGGAGAGGCACCATACCCGGAGGTGCTTCTTTCTAGGAAAACCTAAACCAACCTAACCTAACCTGACCTAACCTAACCTACAAACCTACAAACCTACAAACCTACCCTACAACCTACAAACCTACAGCGCCTCTCCTCGAGACCTATTGCGCCGACTTCGTCTTCAAATAAAGTAAATATCATGTTCGCTTGCAGAAAAGCCGCCTTGAAACCATAGAGATTTGTGTGAACCTCTTTGTCAGTGGTGCAAAGAAAAAATATTCGCAGAGTAGAGCGAATGAACGATTGTAAAGCTCATCCCATGAACAGCCTTGGCTTACGATACTTTTCCTTTCGTCCTTGAAATGCTTTTGAAGAACCTGGGGCGGCAGGAAATTTAAATTTATGAACTTTGCCAGTAATTTATCTAAATGGCTGACGACTCAAATTTATTAAAACTGGTTACCGATCTTGGATCTAAAATTGAGGCAACTAAAGCAAAGATCCTAGCCAGTGAGCAAGAAGGAGACAAATGGAAGGCAAACCTTTTGCAAAGTAAGTTCTTTGCTGTTCCGATTTTTGGGTGCTAACGGCTAGATAATTAGAGATGAATATCCCAATTTATAATTGTAATTTGTACTCAAGGCTAAATGTACTGATACTCTCGTGCTATTTTCTCATTTCCAGCTCAAAAGGCATTGAGCGAGCGAAAACTCCAGTTGCTCAGGCTGCGGGTCAGGTTATCAAGTGAGAAGGAACAGCTCGCTGAGAAGGAAGAAAAGTTCAACTCCTGTCTGACTGAAATTCAGGTGAGTGTGCTCACTGCTCTCTCATATCTGCTGTCTTATATCGTGGCTTGGCTAATAATGTAGCTGTCAAAGTAGGTAAATCAGTTGGGCAAACTAGGCGGCGGGAATCAAAATATGGAGGCATCAAAATATTGATTCTAGTGGGCGGAGCTTTGACCATATATGGGCATACGTGCAGACCATCACAGAAACGTCAATTCTTCAGCAACCGGCTACAATTTCAAGATAGTTTCTTCACAAAATGAAGAGCAACGTTTAAGCTACCCGCCAGGCACGAAACAATAGCCCTAACCTCTTTGGTTAGTTTAGGAAAGCGTCTTGAAAATAATCAAGATATTGATTCATCACGGCGGCTAATCCCGGCGAGAATCAATATTTTGATTCCGCAAACAGCTGGCTAATCATTATTTTGATTCTGAAATCAGCTGGTTTATCAATATATTGATTCTGCGAACTGACTCTCTGCAGACGTACTTCACTCTTCAAATTGATTTATGGAATGTTTCTTGTGTGCAAATAATGCAAATTTAATAAATTCATGAAGATATTATCAGCACAGGATCGTGTAATTTTTTCTAGACCTTATTCCCACGGTAGACCAGGGATTTTCAGCACTCACCCTGGCTCCCTGCTCAAAGCTGCAAGCCTTCGAGGGAATGAGTGAAGGGAGCCGTGCAGTGTCCCAGAATTATATTTTGGTTTGGGTGTCGGAGGGGTAAATTATTCAGTTACTAGGGAGATGAGAGTGGAAAATTGCCGGTCGGGTAAAGCTAAAAACAGGTGGGAGTGGTAAGAATGAAGGGAATACTGATTGATAGCATGCAACACCACACACATGTGGTAGGATGTAGCTTGTATTACATGTATCAATATGATGTTTACGACCATACACGCAGATACTCCTCGTTTTTGAGGTTGGGAGTGGAAAATCGCTCTCAAATATTTGAAATGAGAGTGGAAAATGGTCATCATTTGGATGTTGTTTCCCACCCAAATCGACAAATTTTAGGACACTGGAGCCGTGCCGACCTTCGTATAGGGGTTGTACTGAGTCGGAGCCGGAACCGAAGCCCGACCATTTTACTCGGAGCCGGAGCCGGAGCTGGAGCCGATTTTTTCCTCCGGAGCCGAAGCCGTCTGACATTTTCACGGCTCCACATCCCTGCTTTGTAGCATTGATTTTGAGTAAAAAAAAGTTAACTTATCGTCTTTCACGTGTTCATGAATGTGTTTCTACGCATCTGTATCCCGTCCCATTTCTGTGGAGTACCTACAGTAAGAGATATTTCGCCGAACAATATACTCAAGCCCGTTGCACAAATTGCACAATTTGAATGAAAATATGATACACGGATGTATTTGCATTCGCAAATAATACGATGATATTCATAACACATTTCACAACGATCCCTGCAATTGCCACACATTTGCCATCACAAAGCCCTGTCGTTGATGCTCACATCCCATGCAAAGCAATACTCACTTTTAGGACACGTCTCTTATTCAATATGGTTACGTATTTGCAAAACATGCAGTTAATAATATTTGAAACTGAGACCTAACCAGTAACCAATAAGACATACCGTGGACAGGTAAGAAAAAACAAATAAACGTCTGGAGAATGACCTCAACGTCTCGATGTTGCCTAATTACAAAGAGCAATTTTCGGTTTCGAATCAAATACATCAAAACAAAATTTGTACAGATACACTCAATATAGGGTTTATGATTAGCACGGCTACCTAAAACATCAACCCTGTCAGGTTGAGCCACTTATGTCCACACCCAAAGCAGGTCGCTTTGGAACACCGCAAGATCCCATATTACCACCGAAAACGGTCACCAATTGGTCTACTGATCAGCATCTTCAGAACATTCTCGACCGAAAAGCTATCAGTCCTGTCTGTGTTTTGGTTCGCTTCATTTGGGCTATGCGCACGTTTTTCTACTCCGGTTCTAGGGACGAGATAGCAGTCACCACGCGCTGCACCAGCTCGTTCTTTGACAGGTTGGTGACGCTGTCGTCATCCGGCAGGATTAACACGCGGCGCATTTCACCCTCGGCCCCGCCAGCCACATACACACTTCCTTACGTCATATTGTTTCTCGCCACGAGATCAAAGTTCAAAAGGTCGTGATGTAGGTAGTCTCCGCCCAGCCCGAGTCAGGTACTCCACCGGTTGGTCGGGTGCCGCCAGGTCCGCGCAACGCCGCCCTACTTCGGTCGACGCTCTGGTTGACAGGGATGGCGTTGTCATACAGTTGCCTGTCGACTGAACAGCGATTCAAGACGCCATCCTTGACCCTCTGAAGCCGATCCCCGCAACGACCAGTGTTTGATCCTTGGTTGACCTGCAGCAAACAACAGAACACAATAATTAGGACATTTGTGGAAATAAATTAGGAACCTATATGTGTTATTAATCTACTTGTTCAGCAACTATTAATTTTAGAATATATTCAATAAAAAAATTAAATACTTAATGTCACTTAAATTTCCACTGAACGCCACCAGGTGCGCCAACAACTGTCATCTCATGCAGTTATATAAATTCTGCCAAAAAAGTAGATCTGAGGCCAGTTGTACCAACAGAAGAATAGGTGGCTGCTGGATTTTTTTAAGTTACTTCACATACAGAGCATGAGCGGTACAGCCCTTTCCGTTTACGTGCCCATCATGTTAACGCTCCATATGTGAAGCAGTCTTTAGGCAAAAAATTCCAGCAGGCAACTATTTGTGTTGATAAAACTGGCCTCTAAAATTAACTTTGGCATGGACAATCCTGAAAATTAACTATCCAGCATTCCCTGGACTGACGTACATTAGACACGTAATTTTCTTGAAGATCACACATAATGTAAATGTGGCTTACACCATTCAGCAACTTGCTTTTGTTACACTTAAAATAAGCATCATTAAATATGTAGCAAAATTGGGCAAAGCAATTACAAGCCAAGCATACATACCTACTATTTAGATAAGGCAAACACGAACATGCACTACGACCTTTCAATCTTAACTCGGAACAAGTCAATAACCTAGTTGCCCTTAAAAATTTAAATGCTACAAATTAAATTTGTAGCAACAATTGGGTGAGTGAGACACAAGCAGAGGCTAAAACATCCAAATTATGTAAAATACTGGACATGCACTGCCCCCATTTCATGAGTCCACCCAACAATTCTATCATGTGAGACAAAACATTAGGCTTCTTGTAACTAATTTATACCGTAACTTTTACAGGACATCATATTTCACTGAAATACTACACCTAAGACATCATTTTCAAAAAAAATATAGCTTAAAAAGACAATAGAAGAGAGAGAAGGCGTCCCGCGCCGCTGACGTCGCTACCGCGCCATGTTCCTAAAACCATCTCTTAAAACGAGTTTTCGGTAAGAAACGTTAAGATCACATGCCTGAAATTGAAAAACACACTTCAAAGTATCTTAAAATATGATCCATTGTTACTTACACTTCAGAAAAGGTCGCTTTAACAAAATAAAACCGGGAGCACTACGTTGCATCTAAACACCCACGACGCCGGCGCCAGGGAGACACCGGTTGGTCACGTGACTCGGAAACAAAAATCAGCTGATAGAGTGGCGGAATTGTCGTAATCAAACACGAATAATTCCGGACGATAGAGCGCCAGTATAGGAGTTTTCTTCACAACAGGCAAATATTGCAATGTTTTATCATTCTATGATCAAGAAACGTTCATAAATCATATATTTCTTCGATGATCACTGCCGCAACCGACACGCACATATCGTAGCCAGCGCATAAAGTTGTGCTTTGCGATATTGTAAAGAGAAGCATTCTATATCTTGCTTCAACCTTCTACTTACGCTTTTATAATTACAAAATACGACAGCGACACCATACGGCCTATCGACGCTATGCAACGCCATCGAGTGTCCGGCCGCACTCTGCCGAGTGTGCCGAGATCAGAGGCGGACCATCCGGGGCACGTCCAGCTGCACTGCCCGGTCGCTGGGAGGGCGACACCTAGCGCCGCTCTGGCCGCCCGCTTCCGCGCACAACTTAGCTACCTGGCTACGCTTGTGGGAGGGGAAGGAGAAAACCAACAACAGTCTGATGAGCCAATGGAGTCTGCGAGCCACGCCAATCAGCGCCCTTCCGCGCGCAGACGGGAGCTAGAGCTATTCATCTCCTTTCCTGTTTTCGCTGGTCCGCCAGTCACCAGCATCGTTCCGTGCTCTCCATCGTCGCGATTCGGCCGTGTTGTCCTTTTGTGCGTCAGCAACAACAGTGAGAGAGAGAGGGAGAGAGAGAGAGAGAGAGAGAGAGAGAGAGAGAGAGAGAGAGAGAGAGAGAGAGAGAGAGAGAAAGAGAGAGAGAGAGAGAGAGAGAGAGAGAGAGAGAGAGAGAGAGAGAGTCTCGGATCACGCCAGACAAGACAGCCACATGGGTATCTATTGTTTATTTACTTTCCAGTGATCGCAGGCGTTTAGTTGTTTGGAACCGGATATGATCAGTATTTGACGCATTTCTGTTATCTGTATGATAAAACTGAAAAAGTGAAATATATCCACTTTAATTCACATATCGCTTTTGACTCATGGCCCGGCTGCTTGATTTTGCCACAGCGTACATAGTACATACACTACACAACCGATCTCGGTATGTTTCTGTTCCAGAACAGCAGCTGCAGCAGACACCAAAAATGCATTCATGTTCTGACAACTTATTCCAAAGATAGTTACACATATTTTACGACGAACGTTCCAGAGAAAGTATTTTTCGCTCACAGATGCTCAGCAAGAAGCGCGCGATTGATTGCAACTAGCACGCTCACGATTTCTAATATAGCGCTGGCCAAAACCTGGCCCTTACATCCAAATATAATAATATTAATTCCAGTCTCTGTCCTATTTACTACTTATTAGCGCATCGAGAGTGAATGATACCACGGCATAGCCGTCATATTACATAGCACAAATTGCGAGACGACGTCGAGACCCGTATCGGTGTA